GGGTCGTGGTCACTTGGAAGCTGAATTTTTGCATGCCTAGAATGGATGGGATTAGCCCATTCTTTGCTCAACATTATGCTTTAAATAGTATCTGTCTGCTTTGAGTTCATGAGAGGGTCCAATTTCTGAAGCCTCATGCTAATGGTGTGAAGAGGGTGGAAACTTCACCACGGTGTTACAGGTAAGGCCTTTGGAAAGAAAAGTCAATAGGGTAGAAGTCTTATTTCTGGAATCTTTATAACGAGTGGGAGAAAGACCACTCAGATATAGAGACATGTAGAGACCGATGTGACGTGCCAAGGGGGAACCCTCACCAGAGGCTGTAATGTGCTGCTTGAATCTCTAGAATCATGAACCATACATATCTAAGTGCACTCAGTATGAATGAATCAAACACAATGAATGGATTTTACAGATGTGAATGGGTTTTATTACAAAGATAACATGTGCTGGGCGGTGGTGGCACACGCCTCAAAATCCCAGCACTTGGAAGGCAGAAGCATGTGGATCTCTGTGAGTTCAAGGCCGCTGCTTCCCAAGTACTGGGATTAAAGACCTAGGCCACCACACTTAGCTGTCTTCTAGACCACAGTGGAGGATATTCTTCTGAGGTAGCCAGACTTGTTTAGTTAGCATCTTCTTCATAAGGCCTTCCCCGAGGGCATGTATGTCCCACAATTTATCGTTTGCTTCCTGGTTTGTCCTTTTTGGAATGGTGGGAAATGTCTCATTCTGTCTACTGATACTTGTGTATGTCAGCACCCTGGGGTCTGTCTTTGGAAGCTGGCAGTGGGGCTTCTAGACAGAGAGTCCAAGAAGTGTTCGAATTTCAGTTGTCAGTGAAATAAGACCATGGGGAGGGGTGAAGAGAGGGACCAGTGTGAGACCTTTGGTTGTTATTAAACAATGTGATGTTGCTGCTGTTTTCTGCAGAGAGGTCTTCTCACGTGACGACGTCTACAGCTCCTCAGAGTTGGCAGATATATAACTGTGTGGGTTGCAGAGAGCTGGTGTAGAGTGGGGCTCACAAGAGCCCATAGCACCTTCTGTACTAGCAACCCTGTCAAGGGGTGGTTATGACCCAAACAATGGGGATGGTATGAGCTCTTCACAGGGGCTCTTTCAAAGTAGCACTTAGTCAGGAGCCCTGCTTTGTTCAGATCTGTGCTGGAAGCAGCTGCATGTGAAAGGGACTCTATTGTTTTGAAGATGCTGCTCCACTCTCTGGATTTTGAAACTCAGTTTTCCTGTTGTTTGAATGAGGGTGGGGCTGAGGTGTCAGTGAACTTGAATTCTGTCTCTATTCTGTTGTCATAGAAATATGCTGAAAGTCTATCAATTAAAAGAATGGTATTCTATATCTGTAGGTTTTGGAAACAAAATAGAAAACATGTCTAACTTGCAGGGATATGTCATTGGTTTAATTTTTTCTAAAAGGAGATCGAATCCAATCTACTAACTTTTTAAATATTTCCCATATGGCAGGCCCAGGGAAATCTCTCTGAAGTTTTCTCCTTGTTTAATCTTGTTGAGACAGGTGCTATGATTATTCCTATTCAACACATCACTTGTCAACAATCACTCAGATAGCAAGACGCAGATTTTCATTCTATTCCCAGCTTTGATTCCGGAGTGCATACTCATTTTTAAATACATACATTTTATTATGTATAGTTGAGGTAAACAATGTGACACTATGTACTACAAAGAGCGAATGATTGCTACAGTGAAGACGGTCGACAGAGCTGCCCATCATCTCACAGCTTCCCAGTTTTTATTATTGTTTTATTAACTGTCGTCCTCATGCTTCACTTACTCTTTGGAGACTTCTTCACCTTGCATATCTACTACTCTGTAACTTCATTTCCTCTACACCCCCACTCTATCTCCCTCCACTACCATAGTTTTGCTTTCTAACTCTACATATTAGACTTTAACTTTTTATTTTTGTGATTATAATTTAATTACATGTCTCCCTTATCTTTCCTCACTTCAAACTCTCCCATCTGTCCTTTCCTGCTCTCCTTCAAATTTGTTGCCTCTTTTTGTAAAAGTGGTTATTGTATGCATATATATACACATATATATTTATTACACGTGATATGTATACATATACATATTCCTGAATACAACCTGTATATTCTTATTATGTTACTTGTATGTATGTTTTGAGGGCTGACCCTTTGGCACTGAACAACTAGTTAATGTGCCTGTCCCTGGGAAGACCAATTCTCCCATTCCCAGCTTTCTTCAGTTGCCTATAGTTCTTTGTTTATGGTTGAGGCCTCCGTGGCCTTTTCCTTGTCCAGTTTCATGTCGCCCTTGTTCAGCTGGAATTCAGGCTTTCATGTTGGTGAGACTATAAGGATGTAACTTCTGATATGACTAGGAGACCCAATCCCACAGCAAACTCCCTGATCCTCTTGCTCTTTATTGTTCTTAGATTCTACACACAGATGAAATCATAGAGTATTTTCTTTTCCGCATGTGCTGATCTGACTTAGCACATTATCCAGGTTATGTTAGCTAACAGAGTCCTTTTTTTCAAAGGCTGAGTGGTATTTAGTTTGGACAGCACAGTTTATACACCTCAGTTTCTTTGTTTTTTCACTGGTAAGTGTTTTCTTTGCTTTATACCTTGACTTTTATGAATAGAGCTTCTGACTATTGTGAACATGAAAATACAGACATCTTTAAGAACTGATGATGTCATTTCCTGTGGATAGATGTCTAGAAGAGAACTTGTTGTTCATGTGGTAGTTCTATTTTTAAATTCTTTATTAATCATCAGGCTGTTTTCCATAGTGGCTATACCTGTCTATCTTCCTTACAACAGTTTACTTGGTTTCCTTCTCTCCTGTACCCTTGACAACATTTATTACCTCTTGATGGTTTGAAAGTATCCTTCTCCAGGGCCATGTTGTGGCATTGTCTTGTTGTGGTTTTGATTCAAATTACCCTGAAGACTAATAAGGCTTAGCACCTTTTCATATTCTCGTTGGCCATTTTTGTATATTCTCTAGAGAAATGTCTTATGTTTTAAATGGATAATTTGCTTTTGTACTATTAAGTCACACGAGTCCCTTACTAATTTGGGTATTTATCCATAAGTAGGCAAATAGTTTGCAAATATTTTTTCCCAATCTCTAATTTGCCACCAAATTTTATTCATTATTTCTTTTACTTTGTGGGAGGTTTTTAATCAGAGCCCATACTCTTAACATTTGATCAAATAGCTTCTATTTGATCTTGATATTATTATGTATCTCAGTACACAGGAAACTGAAAGTATTCTCAGGCACTCATCACTCAGATAAATAGTAATATTCTTGCTTCAGATATTTCTCAAAAATACTCAGATGTCAGCTGGGTGGTGGTGGTGAACACCTTTGATCCCAACACTTAGGAGGCAGAGGCAGGCAGATCTTGAGTTTGAGGCCAGCCTGGTCTACAGAGCAGGATATTGAGGGCTACACAGAGAAACCCTGTCTCAAAATGAAGCAGAACAAAACACAATCTCAGACATGATTGAAATCCACAGCTCACTATTCCCATGGTCCCCTTTCCTTTTATCCACAAGCAGGCCACAGTTATCTTAAAACTTGGATGTCTTCTTCCTGTACATTGTGTGCCTTTACTAGATGAATTCCTTCCTAATCATGTGACTTATGTATTTGGAATTATGTGTATGTGTGTAAAGATGGTTGGATATGTACATTTGCATGCAGGTGCCTACAGAAGCCAGAGATCTCAGCTTTCCTGGAGCCAGAGTTATAGGCTATTGTGAGCCCCCCAACATGGCTACTGGGAACTGAACTCAGCTCTTCTGCATGAGCAGTAGGTGCTTTTAACTGTGGAGCTATTTTTCCAGCCCCTGTAATCATGTTTTCAAAATAGTTTTTGTGACAATATTCTGAGGGGAGGTGCTGTTTTTCTCAGATAAAAACATTGAAACTTAATTGACATGACCCAGGATCAGACTGCCTGCAAATGGCAGACAGAGGGTTCCTTTTTTGTGGTTCTGGGATATTTAGAACCTTTTCCCTCTCCCTTTGGTATATTTCAGGTTGTACTGTAGGAAGGGAGAACATTCTGAATAACTGGCATTTCACAGATGTCCTAAAGAATTGGAAGAAAACTCCCCTTTGCTCATCTTCCCTTGGGGTGTGTGACTTAGCCATTCAGGCTGTTGTAGAGAATGCCATGGACTTGCATGTTAAGCATCAGGAATGCAATTCTGTCGTAGAGTCAGGAAATCCAGGGTCAAGGTGTTGGCAGATGCGGTGCCTGGTGAGGGCTGGTTCCTCCTCTGCGCAAGGCTTTCTTCCTGTCTCTTCATTTAGTGGTAGAGATTTAGGGAGGAGTCTCCCCTGTAAGATGGCAACTACCACCCAGACGAGTTACACCTGCATGAGCGAAGCCTCTTCCTTGTACACCGCCTTGTACCATTACACTGAGGCTTATGATTTTGACATAGGAATTAGAGGATGCACAAGTAGTTGTTTCATGACAAGGGATAATGAATCTTGATATTATTGAACTTAAAACAGCACTCAGTTTTGACACATCCAACCTCTGATAAGTGCTGTGCTACCGAGACTACTTTTGATCATGGTATCCTCTCTCTGGGGTTTTGCCTACAGTTATCTGCCTATAAAGTTATGGCACACACAAGAAGACAGCTGACAGCAGACCTGATTAGGGAATTAACATCAAGGTTCAGAGGTGGTCAGCAGGGCAGGGAAAGCCTGAGGGCAGTCTTGATAATGTTGCTAAGGGTGTTGGGATCATATACCTCTCTTGCTTAACAGTGATATTTTTATCTGAAAGAACACCCTGATTCTTTTTCTGAAAATAGGTAATCTAGTGTATATACACATTATACACAGGGGACATGATTGACACTGAATGAATGTGAATTTGGAGGCAGAATATGGATTTCAGGGGTGAGAGTTACCCAGGAACAAGCAAAGCTTTGCGAGTTGGGATACCTATAAGGTGTGCATGTGTGACTGAATCTCAAGGGTACACAAAGGTAAAGTCCTTTGTCTCCACCCTGGTGGGCACCAGGAGATAGAGATGTGAGCATCAGCTTTGAGTGTGGACTGTTGGTTCCCTATTATGTTCATGCTTCAATGTGGAATGAAGTAGCCTTGACCATCATGTTGCTCCAGGCCAGTGAAACCTGGATAGCTCTTTCCTCTGTTCCCATCAGTGTGGCTGCGGAATTTTTAGGGCTCTGGCTTTGGATTGACAGTCTTGGACTAAAGCTTTATGTGTATGATCCCAGCTCAGTGCATCAACTGATGAAGTTTCAACGTCATCAATGAAACAGGAATGACAATACCTAACTTGTAGGATTTCTGTGACTGTGAGAAGAGTGCTATATAGACTGTGCTATATAGTGCTTGTGATTAAAGTGATTATGAATGGCAGCTAGTAGCAATATTCCAAAGATTCATTTATATTTAGTTGCCAAACAGGGCCATTGTGCTGCAGTCAATACAGTAGAGTTCAAAAGTAAAATGCTTAAATTTAAATTTCAAGCTGTGCGACAAGTAGCAAGTTGAATGTTCTCTGTGACTCTCTGCTTTCATTTACAAAACTGAAGTTGTAATAGGGCATACTCATTAGGATTATCATGAAGATTAATCTTTAATCTGGTAGGCAAATGAACTACTATTGAGCTACATCCTCAGCCCACTAAATTTAAAGTTTAAAGAAAAATACAAAACAAAATCAATGCCTTTAGTAAAGCAATTGGCATATAACAAACACTTAGAGGGACTAAACCCTCTTGCTCACTGTTAATTATTTTCTATTGTAACTGGCAAATACTTATAGGCAACTAAAAATAGAAGGCTGCACTTCATAAAATTTAAGAGCTTCTATCCCCAGAAATCCTCAGTTGCAAAGTAGCTTAGAGATTTAGTTTGAGGGCTCTGATGGTGAGATGATGAAATATTAGATGTGAGGATTAGCTTGTCAGCCAGATACAACATAGAGTCACCTGGGAAGAGTTTCATCGAGGAGCTGCTACTTTGGGTTGGCTTGTGAGCATGTCCATAGGATTGTTTTAATTGATGTGGGGAGAGACACAGTCCAGTGTGGGCAGTAGCATTTCTTAAGCAGGGGATCTTGAATTGCCTAGGAGTGGAGAAATGGAGCTGAGCATAAACAGGCAAGAAGCACACATGTGTTCACTGCCCTCTGCCTTTGGCTGTGGGTATGATGTGACTAGTTGTTTGTACTTTCTACTGCTTTGGCTTTCCCACACACTAGACTGTAACCTGGAATTGTGAACCAAAATCTCTCTACCCCAGTTTTGGAACTAGGACATTACATGACCACCAAACTCCTTCCCCTAAGACTAGAAGTAGCTGATTCTTTTGTATTCAAACATGTCACTAGTTGACTGACTGGAAAAATTGCTCAATTTCTCCATGTCTCGGGTAGGCTGCTCAGCTGTATAATGGAATAATGAGGATTCCTGCCCCATATGGTTGTCAAGAAGATGAAAAGGCTGAATGCAGATTAGCTCCTGGAAGAATGCTTTCATTCCAGACTCCAGATTCTTCTTCCACAACTTCCCCAATTTCCCTTCTGTTTTATCTGTGTCCTTTCTCTTCTCTCACTTTCTGTCACTCAAAATAGGATCCTCATGAATTACTGTGACTTCAAAACTTTCTCTAGTGTTGACCTTCAAGCTGGTCATGACTGGAGAGTGACTGTATTTCAGTCATTTTGGTGGGGGTTGGGGTGGGGCTTGTATGAATGTCTGTTGAGAATATATTCTGGCTACAATCTGTCAGCCCGATAATGAGAGTCTGTTAATGAGGCACTTGGCAGGTGCTTTTTATTTACGAAGATGACAAATGCTACCACGTGGCTGTGCTCCAATCATTTCAAAGGCCAGTGAATTCATTACAGCATGCTGAACTCACTATCATTTTGTTAGAGGACTCTGAATCATTTGGATTTTTGTTAATGGAGTTATTAAAAAAAAAACAGTCTTGCAAAGAGGAGATCCTTTAAGATCCTTGCCCCTCTACCTGTTCACCAATATATCTGTTTGGTAATGACTAACTTCAGAAAATCACATTTTAGACACCACTTGTTGCTGTTAGAGTGGTCTATATTACTTTAAGATGATGGCTTAGGTCCCTGAGCCTTTGCAGGACTAAGACAGGAGTTGTCTTAGTGACCATAAACAGGTAAGAAAAGGAAGCCTGGACTGTGGGTTTGAGTCATCTGTCTGTGTGATGGATGCTGAGACCTCTTTCCAAAGGCTCTTGAGACCATGGGACCAAATAAATGCTCTGGTGATCTCACAAGGCACCTTATTTCTCAAAAGGAGAAGGACATTTATATCAGTACGTGAATGAAACCCTGTCCCTGTACCTAGGGCTTTGAGATGATGGCAACCAACATAACAATGTATTTCATGCTGTGGGCTTCTCAGTTTGTCTCATAGTACAGGTCTAAAGCAGATTGCAACCATTTCTTTGCTGGATGTGAATAAGCAGACAAAAGCAAAACAAAAAGAAGTTAACAAAAGATGCAGAGGAAATGAAAAACCTTTGCCTTTGTTTTCTCTTTGCAGACTGGTACAGAGGGTACCTTGTTAAGCATAAAGTGTCACAGGTAAGGTCACTTTGTTTTCATCTGGGACAATGAAGGATGTCTTCATCTGGCCCTGCTGCCTCTCCTGGGCAATTCTTTCCCTGCGCTGCTCTTCAGCAAAGTGAGTTCACTCCTTTCTTCCAGATCTGTCCTCTTAGCTCCCACTCCTGTGCCTCACTGTGCATGCCCTGCCTCTACTCCCTCCTTTTTCTTTAAGGTGCTCTCTGGCACCCTCTTCTCCTTGCAGCCTTTGCTAACATGCCATTTGCTTATGTGATCCCCTCTCTGGGGCCCCCCAGGAAATGGTGCACTTTATGGTTGAAGCTGGTCTCTGCTCTTCCCTTCAGCTTCGTATAAGCATTCACCCATTTCCCATGTGACAAGAAAGGACAGGCTTGGGTGCCCTTGCCGATGATGGAGTCATTCTGTCATGTCATCTCCATGACAGCAGGCACTTGCTTTGCTTGTTTCATTTTTCTCAACTGGTGTTCCTCAAAGTTGAGAAATGTTCCCATCATGCACACTGCTTGAATTCACGGAGGAATTTCCAAGCAACTGATAAAGCTCCCTTGCCATCTGGGCCATGGTTATGAAGCACTTTCCCTGAAGTGTTGTTCAGGGTGGCACAATCCTGCCCTTCCTTCTCAAAGGACAGTGAGTTAAATCCAGGGAGGAGAATCTCATATCTTAGAGGCTCAAGTAAAGCCAAGGAATTGCTTTGGATGCAGGGGTCCCCCCCCTTGCTTTATGATTGCCACTTCCCTGGAAGTGGGCAGGAAAGGGAGAAGCAGAGCTCATGTCTCCACAAGTGAGGGGCTCAGACCCCTTTTCTATTCATTTCCCCTCTTGTCCATGATGGTACTGAAGTATCCTTTGGGATGGACAGTGGAGAACAGAAAGACCTATGCATGTGGGTTTGGCATCTTTGACTGCTCCATCTGACTCTTAGATTGTTCTTTTGAAGTTTGATGGTTTCAAAATCCAGTAGCTTAGTGGATAAAAAATAAAACCTGGGCAGATAATAAGTCAGCTGTTTTTCTTTGATGTGTCTTCCATCCTATTTAATTTTGTTTCCTACAGGGCATTTTCCCTACATCCTTTATCCATGTCAAGGAAGTGACAGTGGAGAAAAGAAGGTACTTGTGGGGACCTGGGTGAGAGACTCAGTTGAGTGACTCCTTGCAAGCGTGAGAACCCAAGTTGTGTTCCTTCAGAAAACATAGTAAAAAGAGCCGGGCATGGTGCTACCTTGGGATAGCCTACATATGTGCATTTTAGGAAAAGTCCTTTGTGCCTGCAAAACCCTGAACTCGATCTGGAAAGAGCTTGTGATCCCAGTGCTGAGGATTGGGGTGGCAGCCAGGTCCCTGGGGCCTTCTGGTCACCTAGTCTAGCCTGCTTGTCAAGGTCCAGGCCAGTGGGAAACCCTGTCTCAAAACAAAAGTCAAGCCACAAGAAGCAAAAGAAGGAGATTTCCCCAAGGTACAGTCCTTTGAGGTTCTCTGGCTTCTATATAAAAAGCATACATGTGGACACTCACCCCCTGACACATACAGAGAGATACTTGTGTTATTTGCCAGGCTGGCCTCTCCTGACTCATGGATGCCTTTGTCTAGTTAGCTTTGGCCATCTGAGCTGGCAGATGTGCAGGGCCCAGCTCACTCAGCTGTGTATTTGTGTCTTCTCTTTCTCTACAAGGAGCTAATCCAAATTGATTCTAGCAGGAATCTGATTCTAAGGGGGGATTAGTGAGTTTGGAGAATCCGGCTTTTCACTAGTAGCTGCCTTTGGACCTGATTAAAGTAGACTTGACTTGAATAGTGAGCATGAGGGACCTCCCCCATGAAGGAGACCATTTAGAGAGAAATATTTACATGATGCAGTCTGTGAGTGCTGAAGGCAGTGGGGTCTCCATAAGCCTCCTCTTCACAGCTGCAGCTTACTGAAGAGTTTCCAGCCCTTTCTCTCTTTTGCACCTGGGTCTCAATTCCACCCCCTGTTCTCTCCCACCCAAAATAGGAACATAGAGAACATCATTCCTGCAGAAATTCCTTTGGCCCAGGAAGTGACGACGACGCTCTGGGAGTGGGGAGGCATCTGGAAGCAGCTCTATGTGGTGAGATACAACCTGTTCCCAGGACTGGAGAGCCCCACAGCAGCTTGCACTCAGGTTTAAGTTAAGCTCCAGTCTTCAGTGGAGCTCTGGAGCAGAGAAGAGAGAGCCACACTATTATGTATGAGGACAGTGAGACCCAGAGAAGTTAAGTGCTTTCATTGAAGCCACACAGCAGTGACAGCTATCACCAATATGGTCGGGTGGGAGGGAGCCTTGTGTTTTTAAACAGGTGCAAAAACTGTTGAGCTTGGGTTTGCACATGAATTTCCTTGGTACTTGTTTATAAAACAAATCCTCCAGACTTAGTAACCTGCCCCTTTAATGTTCTCAGGGGATTTGCTTTGGTGTTCTGCTGCCACCCTGAAATATACTCTTGTCATGTATTAATTAACTGATGGCTATTGTCTTAGATAGATCCGTGAAGAGGCTTTGACCCTGAAAAACAAAGACCACATTTTATGTGTTTTCTCTGTTTCAAAGCAAATTTAATTTAAAATCCTCCTTTGATGCATCAAAGCTCCCAATGAAAACAATTAGCTAACCAAATGATTAGGCTGAGATCGAAAATGTCAGCCAAAGCTTAGTGCAAGTTTGTTATAGTCCAATGCACACCCACTGGCGTGTGCATGCTGTCCGGGGACTCACCTTCTGTGGTAAATATTGACACCCATGTGGAAATCTCCTACTAACACGAGGTGATTAGCACATTTAGTTTGTAAGCTTTCCAAAGGTTGTCAGTAAAATTTGGGGTATGTGTTTTTCTGCTTTTCACCACTATACTGAATCACCCGAGGCTGACTTCTAAACAGGCATTATTGATGACGGATTTCCAGAGTGGTGCTGAGCGTCAATATAGCAAGAGACAGGGAAGGTGCACTTGTGTGCTTATCTGTTCGCTTTCCCTCATCTTTTCAATCACTGGGACTCCATCTTAATGACCATATCTAACCCTAATCACTTTCCCAATACCTCACCTCTAAAAATCACCATTGGGTTAAGTTTTGACCCTTAGTACCTGACAGCTAGGATAAAAGTCTAACACATGAGACCTTGTGAGGTGCTGTAATGACCAACTCTCAGCAGCTCAGAGAAACTGGAGCGGAGATGTGGATAGATGAACTCCTGCAGCAGACATATATGGGCCAAAGCTTAATTCATTTTATTGTTCTCTCTGCTGGTCCTTTCTACACTGTTTTTTTTCCTATTTTTTCTTTTACCTCATTGTTTTTTCTTCTTCTTCTTCTTCTTCTTCTTCTTCTTCTTCTTCTCCTTCTACTTCTCCTCCTCCTCCTCTTCCTCCTCCCCTTCCTCCTCCTCCTCCTCCTCCTCCTCCTCCTTCTTCCTGGTTGCTTCCCTTTCTACATCTTTCCTGATCTTACTCGTTTGCTCCTTTTCTGATGTGTTCCCCTTTACATCGTTCCTTCTCCTGTTTTCTTCTCCTCTTTCTTATTTTCCTCTTATCCCTTTTATGCCCCTAATACAAAATTTCTATGCAAGAAAACACTACCTCACAACCACAAGTTCCAAAAAACAAATTACATAATTTTACATAAGAAGAGATCACATTAAGATCATAAGCTATTTGTTTTGCTTAGAAGTCCACCAGTAGTTAAACTTTTTTTTCACCCCAAAGCAAGGATTCTTTTCTAATTGATTAACAAAGTTTTAAGCAAGCCATGTATATTTCTTTTCTACTGGCAGGCAGCTGTTTGCAGTTTTAGTGTAGTAGATTTCCATTTTCTACTCTAGAGAGACTTTAAAGGAGTGGTCAGCTAACCATCTGTTTTCCTTTACACAATAGGGCCATTTAATTTCCTTTTACAACTTTGCCTTTTCAAGGTACATACCTGGGCCTGTGATTAGTTCTGTAAGCTACATGACCAAGGGACTCAGGCTTAATCTTGGGTGTAGGGATATAATTGTTCTCTTTAGTCATCAGCCTGTTTTCTCACAGCCAGAATTCATGAATCTATAATGAATGAAACTTTCTTATTTTTATCTTTTAATCCACTTCAAATCTCATATCTAAGAAAGGGGAAGGTTACTTTTAACCTATGTGTGTCTTTTTGTATCTCTTATTAGGGTAATGGGCAGAATGATCTAAACCATTTGTTAATCATCTTTACTAAGTGTCCTAACCACCTGGATCTTTTAGGCAACTCAGAAAGTCTAATTCAATCATAGATCTAACTAATATTACATCATTGCTGTCATAAAATTCATCTTCATTGTTGCCTAGCGAAGAGTGGGGTTTTCCCAACTATACTATATACAGTGGGATCCTTTTACATAGTAGTCATACCATGCCAAATATAGCAGGAACATGACAGCAGCAAGCAGGAGAACCACAGCAGAAGCAAGGGCCATTCTGGAGACAGTCCCCCAGGGCTTAGCCTCTTCAACGTTTAGCTTTGCTATTCGGTAAATTGAACTCCATAAGCTCTATTGCTAACTGCAGTTCCCCTGACACAGTACCTGGCACTTGCGGGTCACTCAAATCATATTTACACAAGCAAGGGAACAAACAGTATTCTTGTGGCTTGAATGATTCTTATTCAACTCCACTACTCTCTTGAAAACATCTTTACATAGGCACTGTAGAAATCTGACAGTTTCCTCTGAGAAGAGGTTCTATAGTAAGCCAGCCATGCCTTCTACCCTACAGTAGAACTAGTTAAGCGTTAGTCACTTCATTAGTGTGTTTATGACTTCTGCCATATCTACACAGCATATATGTGACACTTAATACCTAAATTGGATGCCCTTTTAGTAGATGTAGATAATTTATATGAAGACTGTCATAGCATGCCCTGTCATTCCAGTATCACATTTCTGATTACTCTAAGCCAAGTACATGTATGACAATTCAGTAAGTCACTAATTGCCTTGAGTTGGCCTTAGACTCCTTAACCCAATCCTCACTTCAGATGTTAGTCACAGCCAGGCTCCCCAGGCCATCTGCTTCCATTGCAGTTGGCTACAGACTGAGGGATCCTTACTGCCTCTCCCCACCAGGGTGACCCCTTCTCACTGTAGGTTTCATAATGCATTAGAATCTCCCAGATATCAGGAAAGTACTCTACTTGAGATAACAACTTTATTATAAAAGATATAAATCCACGGTCAGCCTGATGGGAGAGACAGAGAAGGCAGTCACGTCCTCTCAAGTTAACCCACCTGTCAGTACATGAGTGCCTGCCCCCCTGGGATGTTCCTCCAACTTACTGCTCAAGAGTCTTAATTAAAGTTGCAATACACAAACACCATGCATTACATCGTCTGCTATTGGAGAGGTAAGGTAACTTAGAGTGGGGCTGAAAGTTTTGCCCCCCATCAATTATGTGGCTGTTTTATCTGGTCATTAGACCCCATCCTGAAGCTATCTAGGGGTCCACCAAAGTTACATTGTTTGCACAAAACCACAAATGGACTAAAGGAGCTCTTTCATAAACCATAAAAGACATGCCTATTGCTTAGTGTATGTTTTTTAAGGGCTTTATGAGCACTGCGCCAGACCAGAGACAAAGACCAAATATATATGTTTTTCATTATATCACAATACTTTCCCTAAGGGAGAGGTGAAAGCATTTGGCTCAGTTAGAAGATTACTTTCCAAATAAATGCAGTAAAACAAGATGGGCCAGGGATGATATTTGGTGTTAGAATACTTGCCAGGGAAGGGATTCATGGACTGCATAAAATGGAGACAGTGAACTAAGCAATAGTATGCATCCCTCTCCAGTTATGCATGAGATGTGACCAGCCACTTGCTCCTTCTATCTTAACTTTCTCACTACCATGAACAGTACTTTGCATATGAACAGGAATAAATCCTGCCTCCCTTGAGTTGCTATTTGTCAGGGGATTTTACCACATCAACAGGACAAGCAACCAAGACAACAGTGGAAGAAAACAGAAATCGAGTGTTGTTATTAGGTGCTTGTTACAGCACCTGCCAAAAAGCTCTGAGTACCAAACCTTCTTTCTCTGTTAAAAAAAAAAAAATGAATTGAGCTGAAGAGATGGCTCTGTGGATAAAAGTACTTGCTGTGCAAGTAAGAGGACCCTAGTTTGAATCCTCACACCCTATGTAAGTCAGATGCATAGTATAATCTTCTGCAATCCCAGCATGGCTAATGTGAGACAGGAGGCAGATTTAAGAGAACCCCAGACCAGTCATCCTAGCATGCAGCAGGAAAAACTGCAACAGACTCTGTAGAAGGAGAGGAGCAACATCCAAGGCTTTCCTCTGACATCTATACATGTACAGTGGTATAGATAATGTCTCTCTCTCTCTCTCTGACACACACACACACACACACACACACACACACACACACACACACACACACACACACTTATTATTATCCACAATAATAAACGTGTGAGGAAACTATGGCTTCTTTTCCTATTAAACAGGATGGAAAGAAATGAAGATCACATGATGGGTCAGAGTTACTTGACATTGTATCTTTCTACCTATCCTCCATCCCACAGAAGCCATGTTTTAAGAAATGCCCCCTTAACAATAGCCCCTTCTATCAGAGAAGCAGTCCTAGTCCCTTGTCTTACAGGACCGGAGCTCTGGAGCTTTCATTATAGCAACTATACATGGTGACAGTCATGTACAATGATTCTATTTGTGTTGGAAATTCCCCCACTCCCACCTGGACAGGAAGCAGAGGGCAGGGATAGGGTTAGAGACTTGATATAACCTCAAGAGACCTACCTTCCAAAGAAGAGCCATCAGTGAGGACCAAACATTTAATACATGCCATTTCATATTCAAATTATAACACCTCTCTTGGAGGCAAGCCAGAAAACTTTGTTTCTTTGGCTATGTTATATATTTATCAAAACGAATGGAAGGAAATATTTGCAAAATGAACTGTCTTTGAGTATCAGCTTTTAAGTATTTGGTTATTTTTTTAATTTTATGTGTATGACTATTTTGTTTCTATGCATGTCTGTTCCAGCAGAGTCCCAAAGAGGAAGTCAGATCCCCTGGAACTTGAGATGCAGAGAGTTAGGGGGCACTGTATGGGTGCTGGGAATCAAACCTAGGTCCTCTAAAGAGCAGCAAGTGCGCTTAACTGCCGAGCCATGTTTCCAGCCCTGGCTGTTAGATTTTTTTCTTTAAACTAAGAAGTGATTGAGATTATTTCTACTTATGGAAAAGTAGAAATAATTTACTTTAAGCTTGATGCCACTTACCTCTGCATTGACAGAGCTCTCCTCTACTCACAATGTGAGGTTTACTGTCCCATCCCCCATTATGGAAAATTCCAGTGGCCCAAGGAGAAGGAATAGATTGGTAATGAGCATCACTTTGTCTCTTCAGCTGGGCAAGCCTGGAGAGAGGTCCGATTGCATACTTCTCCTCATCCTGACTGTGGCCTAGCTTACCAAATACCTTTGGTGTGGGTAGGCATTCACCATTGCTTCCATCTCATAGGCTAGCAAAAAGGAACGCTTCCTCCAAGTGCAGTCCATGATGTATGACCTGATGGAATGGCGGTCCCAGCTCCTCTCAGGAACTCTCCCCAAGGATGAGCTGAAGGAACTGAAGCAGAAAGTCACATCGAAGATCGACTATGGCAACAAGTACCTTTTACATCTACAAATCTACTTTCCTCCCCCAGCCTCTCCTTCTCCCTTTTCTCCCTTGGAGAAGCCTAGTTTCATTTTTAGACTGGGAGTTTGCCACTTTCTATTTGGGAGAAGGCTGTTACCTTAGCCCTGCATGTGTGTCTGTGTTATTACACCCTGGGGCCCAAGGGCACACAGGCAGAGTGGAGGCTTGCTTATGCAGTCGCTATTACTGGGTACTGCACAGATTTAGGGCTCTATTTAACCTACTTCTGAGGGACCAGGGAGTGCAGCCAAGCTCATTTACTTTCAGCTTGATGTCACTTACCTCTGCATTGACAAGAGCTCTCCTCTACTCCCAGTGTGAGGTTTACTGTCCCATCCCCCATTTGGAGTTATCCAAGCCCCAGGCCTCCAGCTAACTCACACAGTTACAAAAGTGTTTACCAAATGGAAATAGAAGCAAGAGTTGGTTGAAATTTGAATGCTCTGGCATTATGGGGAAAATGAAACAAATTGATGAGGCAAGGCAATAACATTAGTGTTAGAACTAACACTGCTGTTTACTAAACGCCAGGCTTTGTGCCGAGTTTCTCACATTGTTTCACTTAATTCTAATAACTCTGTAGGGCATGTAGTTTTATTGCCCCTGTTTTATTTTCTTCATTTTAGAGGAAGGAACTGAGGCTCTTAAAGACCTGAGGTTGGGCTGGAGAGATGTCGCCAGAGTTAAGAGCATACATTGTAGCCTGGAAGTGGTGACACATGCCTTTAATCCCAACACTCAGGGGGAGGAGGCAGGTGAATCTTGAGTTCAAGGCCAGCTTGGTCTACAGAGTGAGTTCTAGGACAGACAGGGTTACACAGAGAAACCTGGTTTTGTCTGTTTTTGTTTGTTTGTTTGTTTGTTTGTTTTTTTGTTTTTTTGTTTTTTTTTTTTTGTTTGGTTTTTCGAGACAGGGTTTCTCTGTGTAGCTTTGGAGCCTATCCTGGCACTCGTTGTTGCACAGGACGCCGGTGTAGTTTCCAGCACATACATGGTGACTCACAACTGCTTGTAACTCCAGCTCTAGGGGATCTGACCCTCTCTTTTGGACTCTTAAAGCATCTGACTCACACGTGTGCATGTATATGCACACACATGGACACCAATTAAAAATAAAATAACTCATTGTTTTAAAGGAGTGAAGTTAGTTGTTCTGAGTTGCATAGCTAGTAAATGGCACTCCCAGGGTGTACATGCAACATGGTATAGACCCCTAGGGTGTAGACCCCCAGTGTGGAGACCTATACTACATTGGAAAACTATAAAACCCCTTTCAGTTTTCTTTCATGCCCTCCAAACTCCTATGTATATTTTCACTTATTCCAACATAAACATGTGAAACAATTATAATTATCTTGATTTCCTACTATGTGTAGGTGCTTTACAGAAATAAAAATCCCTATCCATTAAGGGATGCCAGGGGCTGCAGTCCAGTTAGGAGTATGTGTGAACAGCTGTGTATTGTCATGAGTTTGGTAACTTGGGAAGCAAGAATGTTGTTCACAGATTTGGAGATGGAAGCCAGGGGAAGCTACCTGGAGGAGAACGTCCTTGGGTTTTGAAAGATAAAGAGGTTTTAAGCTGGCAAAAAAAGGGGAGCATCAAGGTGCCGGAGAAAGCACCACATATTCAGAGACTACAGAGAGGAGAACTGAACCCTGGGCCTGAGGAGAAGTCTCTAGAGAATAGGAAGACATTACTTGGTAGTCAGGCTCTACTGCCTTTGTAGTGTTCACTGGGATGAGGCTCCAACACACAAAGCTGAGGCCAGTTGTCCACCTGCTTCCCATCCCAGAAGCTTGTCCCTCTGCTGGCCCCCTGATGGCATCTTGGAACTGTGTCCAAATATGTTTTTACAGCATGTCATCCCACAGTGACAGGGTTGGCCATGCAGCTGCTTCTGCCATGGGTGTGCTAGTGTCTTCAGTTGAGCACAGCTGCAGCTGGGTGTGTGGGAATTAGGGGTGTTTTATGCTTTGCAGAATAACCTTCAGATGTTATTTCCTCAGTGGGTCTCCTGAGAAGTTCTAGGGTTGGTAGAAATGACCATCATTTATAGGCAGTCCTCCCTATTCCCCTTACTGCCCCTTTGGCTATAGTGGGTATTCCTAAGCCCCTGGACTAGCCAATCATCCCCTGTCCTGTTGTTCCTCACACCAAAGCCCCTCTGAAACAGTGACTGTCTGAGTCATCTCTGATTCTTTGCCCGGGAGTGGTAACTTTGTCGAAGTGGTAATTGAATGAGTAGAGGGTGACACTGAGACAAGGGAGAGGAAGACAGCTCACCCTAAGCTAGGATCCCCTCAGTAACTGCCCATATCTCAGTCTGGTGTCTTCAGTTTCAGTCATTCCCTTTGAGGAAGTGAGAGGTGTCCCACCACGGAGACAAGGGGTCTAAGCTAAGGAGTCATTTGCTTTTTGCTGCCCTGGCCTGCTGCTTGAGCTGGAAATGAGAGAACTGGGCACTTTCCTATTGCTCTAGTATCTTGGACTCAAGGCTCCTATATAGGGTAGATATCTTCCTTGCATCCAGGAGACCAACATCTGGATAGAACTTCAAGGCAGCAAAAAGAACACTAGAAGAGCTGGATCTGAGTCTTGGGAAGATGTTGAGTCCCTTCATTCCATTGCTCAGACTTCTGCAATGTATAACATGTAAAACAGAAATGGCATTAAAAAGTGAGTAGGCACTGAGCATGGATGGTAACATTCTGAGTACTTGCTATTTGCCAGGAATATCTTAATCACCTCCATATACTAGTTCAGCTCCTCATTACAATGAGTTTAGAAGGTGAATACTATCACCATCAGTGTTTCTCTGATGAGGACACTGACTTGGTGCTTTGACTCCAGAGGCAGCAGAGCCAGGTAGTATAGCTCCAGAGTCCAAGTGCTTAAGTCCTGTGTTATCTTGCCTCTAAGGGACTGCATAGCTTAGTGATGGAGGCAGAGAAGCAAAGAGACACTTTGGTTAGGAAGACATACATATCAAGAGTGGAGTGGACATAGACAAGAGGGGTTAAGGAAACAAAGTGGATGACAACTGCCCCGACTAACAAGACTAGCAAAAGTTAACTGGGGTGTTCCAATTTCCTGTCTGTTGCTCTGATAAACACTCTAACTGAAAGCACCTCAAAAGTGGAAAGGATTTACACTTCTAGGGCACAGTCCATCACTGTGAGGGTTTAAGGTACTCAAAAAGGAGCTTGAAACAGGTATCATAGAGGATTCTGCTTTCTGACTCACTCACTCATAGGCTAATGCTTAGCTAGTGTTCTTATTCACAGCACCTGTCTGGGGATGGTGCTACTTACAGTGGACTTTAGACTCCTGAATCAATTAGTAATCAAGACAGTTCCCCACAGACTTATGCATAGGCCACTGGTTCTCAACCTCCCCAATTCTGAGACCCTTTAATACAGTTCCTCATGTTGTGGTGACTCCCAAATCATAAAATTATTTGATGTTACTTTAGAACTGTAGTTTTGCTACTGTTATCAGTCATAATGTGAATATCTGATATGCATCTCCTGTGGAGGTCATGAACTACAGGTTAAGAACAACTGGCATAGGCCAACCTGCTCTAGGAAGTTCCTCAGTTGGTGACTCTAGGCAGTCAAGTTGTCAATTAAGACTAACTAGGACCTAGATGAAGTGTTGCAATGGCTAATCTTGAGTGTCACTTGATTGTATTACTAAATGCTAGGGGATTAATGAAACACGAGTCCAGGTGTGTCGTGAAGGTGTTACCAGGGATCTCAAGAGCTCTGACTGTATTAATTTCTTGATGGATTCATGGTATGACAGCATTATTGGAAGGTGATAAGAGGAAGGAGGTCTCTATGGGATGTGCAGTGAGAAGCTACATCTTACCCTGGTCTTGGCCTGGATCCCCTTTTCTCTCCTTCATGGCCACCAAGATGTGAACTGCACTGCTCCATCATCATGTCCCCACCATGATGGGCTGACAACTCTGAACTAGTGGTCCAAGGCAAGTCCTTCCTCTCTGAAAGCTGTTTCCCTAAAGTATTTGGTCACAACAATCAGAAGGTCTGACTAACACAAGTGGTTCTGAGAGACCTGGTGTGACAGTCATGGAAATGAGTGATGAGTGCAGATGGGTGTGAGGAAGGGGCCTTGAGTGTCTAGTAGAGCAGCTTGGATTTGTTCAGAGTGTCATAGTGAGCTGGCAAAATCAAAATCTAGTTCAGGTTTCCTTTATTCTCTTTCTTTTAAAAATATGTATGGGGTTGGGATTCTGTTGTACCCATCCTCGGATTTGTAGTATTGCTTTCTTGAACAGAAGAGATCAATGGGGCTCCCTTCCTGAGGAGACCACATCAAAACACCCCATTCCCCAAAATGAGTAGATGCTGATTCAGCATAGTGGTATCCACTTGAAAAACAGCCTCCACTGCTCCCAGGCTCCAAGAGAGGATGACAGTGAACAAGCTCTTCCATATCCAAGCAATGAGGAATCCTCAAATGACTTCTCAAAGTCCCAAGACAGCTGGACCTGGGAGGATGTTTTATTCATTCATTTCAGAACTGAATCCACTTTGATCAATTTTGAGGAGAAGAGTTAGAGAAATCTCAAGGCTAAATTATGTATCAGCTCTGCTCCATCTTTTTCCCGAGGTCACACAAGCCTCTGTTCAGCATTAGCTGAGTGCATTTATTCCCCCTTGGCATTGATCTCTGGACAGCATGGCCATGCAATGTTATGAGTCATATCTAGCTGGGAGTTAATTTCCTAATGAATGTCCAAATGGGTGATCCTTGGCTCCCTTCTGTTTGTTTTTGGATGAGATGCAAGGTGTGCCTCTAATTCTGGTTTTTAAATAAGAGGGAAGACGTAATCTCCTTCATTTGCCCTTGATGGGGTACTTTGTAATGGGGCCCAGCAAGATGATTGTTGGCTTCCTCTGAGCCTCCAGCTCTTCTAACCTTTCGTCTAGGAAAGGATGACTGACACTCTCTAACTAGCATCAAGAGCCAGGGGAGCCTCATGTTACAACCTGCCAACCCTCCCTCCCCCCCAGGCCAATCTGTACACTGCTCCTAAGAGCAGACCAGTTTACAGGAGATATTCCGAGTGCAGGCAGGGTGCTGTGATAGATTTGGAGATAATTAACTAGCTCCCTCTTCTTAGTCTCTTTTAAATCTGTAAAATGGGAATACTAACAGAACCTGCCTTTCAGGGGTGTTGGTGGTGAGTGTAGCACCAGCTGAAGATAGTTAATGCTTGGGAGTTTCCTGTCAGTGCTGTTGGTGTCTCTGATGACAGGCAGAGTGACAAGTGCTGTTGACACAGATCAATAACAGAGAAGTAGAAGCTTGTGGCCTGGAAGCCAAGCAGCTAAAGAGCAAGCAGTGGGTAGTAATCAATATATCTCAGATTGCTTTGCCCCAACTACCATTTTTACATAATTGTTGAATAATATATGAATACCTGTGTGTGTGTGTGTGTGTGTGTGTGTGTGTTGTGTAGTGAAACATTAAACAAACTGAGACACTGCACATGCCTCCTTTGACTACTCCATGTCTCCCCAGGCCCTCTGCTTTTCTCACCAGTAACCCATGTCTGTGGTTTGGTCCTTTTTTGCATTTAGATCTCTTTGTTCACAGCTATTCTTATACATACAACCAGGAAACACATCTGGCTAGGTTTGTCGTGGTTCTGTGTTCTGTGATTTGATTTATTTTACCCAAAATACACCAATTTTCTATATCTTATTTTGTCCATGGAGATATTTTACTAAACATGTCCAAACCACATACTAACTCTGTGTGTGCATGTTTTCATGTATGCAGGTGCACATGCGTGTGCAGATGCAGACAGAGGCAAGCAGACAACCTGTAGTCTTCAGGCCCCATCCACTAGTTCTCATTTATTTGTTTTACACAGGGTCTCTCACTGGCCTAGAACTCACCAAGTTGACTAGGCTGGCTAGCCAGTAAGCTCTAGGGATCTGTCTGTTTCTCCATCGCTGGGATTACAAATATCTTCCACCATGCCTGCTTTTGTTCTATGGATTCAGAGAATCTAACTCGGGACCCCCTGCTTGGAAATCGAGCATTTTCCTGACTGAGCCATCTCACCATCTCCCCAACAATACACTTTAAAGCTCCACTACCTAGTTTTACATTATTGATCAGTTCACTTAGCCATTTCTCTTTTACTAGAGGTTTTAGCTTTCAATCAACCCTTCACTGCAGAAGACAATCTAAAGGCCTAGACAGCGGACGTCACCTCCAGTTCTTGCCTTACAGAATCCTTGAGCTCGATCTGATTGTCAGAGATGAAGATGGAAACATACTGGACCCTGATAACACCAGCATCATCAGCTTGTTCCATGCTCATGAGGAGGCCACTGAAAAAATCACAGAGCGCATCAAAGAAGAAATGGTGAGTTTTGTTCTGTAGGCTTGGCCAACAAAGCTGGCAGTTAGCACATTGTAAACTTAAAATAATAGGCTAGTGGACCACACTGAGCTATTCAAAGGGCCATCTGCCTGCAACCTGGGATGATCAGTAACAATGCAGGCTTTATTAAATTTTTGTACTTAGATCTGCAAGTCATTAGGCATGCATCCCACAAGTAGTTAAATGCCAGGCATGTTTCCCAATGTTGGAGCTTTTAGGTTCTAGAGTAAAGAAGAGAAGAAAGGTAGCAGAGATGTAAATTAATTAATTAAAAATTAATCCACAGCTGGTGCTAATAGGCAATAAAATAGGAACTGTGAATCTGGGGCTGCTTTAAGAGCTTTGTGCAGCAAAGGTCTCTTGGAGGACTGAAAGAATAAAATAGAAGCCACCAGTACCAAGGGGATCTGGCGGCAGGGGCTTCAGGCAGAGGAAACAGAAAATTCAAAGGCACTGAGGTAAGCCTGAGTTCTGAAGTTCAGTATGGGCGGAGCATGGTGAGCTGTGGGGACTGATTTGAGATAGGCAGCAGAGTCTGGCTCCCAGGGCTGCTTGGGGGATTGTGGGAAAGATTGTAGAATGGCAAGCCAGCAAAAGACTGCAAGGAAGATTAAGTCTGATTTATATTTAAACATGATCACTTTAGTTGCTGTGTATTTTTATCTTAATAGAAACTTCATTTTTTAAGAAACCTGCAAATAAAAATATGCACCAAAATCAATTATTCATGAATAAGTGCATAAAAATAGATTTGATAGTGAAAATGAAGAATCTAATGTGGAGCTCCATGGCGTCAGAATGGTTGTTCCAACTGTATAGTTCATTAAGATGTATAGACTTTGGCTCTGGTTAATTGCTGTGAGTTATTGGAAAGCAACTACATTTTTTGGATTTACGGCGGCACTGCTTTCATGCAGTAAAAATCACTGTCTCTAAGCTTCACTTAGGTGAATGTTACTAATACATGGTGGTGGATATTCCACTCAACAATTAGCATATAGACACTCCTATCCCCTTCCTTACAAACTTCTTCATGCATCTTCCTCATACTTAAGTCCAGAAACCCCTAATTTGTATTCTCTTGCTAGTTCTTATTTTCTAGAACTTCCAAATAGAATATCCAGTGTTATTTTTCTTGGACATTTTTGACTTAGCATATTGTTTTGGGAATTCATTTTAGTATACATACTAATGAACATTTTGGTTCTTTTCAGTGCTGAGCCAGTATATTGCAGACGTAATGTTGATGTGTTTATCCTTGGCCATTCTGATGCTCTATATCACTGATTGTAGGGTGTTTGGGTAGTTGCCAATGTGCAACTGGCATAATGCTAAGAGCAATGTCTTAGTTAGGGTTTCTATTGCTGTGATGAAATACTATGACCAAAAGTAACTTGAGGAAAGTGTTTACTTCACCTTGCAACTTGTAGAACACATTCCATCACTAAGGGGAGTCAGGGCTGGAACAGGAACAAGCAGAACTGGCTTGCTCCTCATAGCTCTCTCAGTCTGCTTTCTTATACAACTCAGGGCTACCTACCCAGGGATGCCACTGCCCTCAGTGGGCTGTGCCCTCTTCTCTCAGTTAGCAATCAACAAAATTCTTCATAGAATTGCCTGTGGACTAATCTTATGGAGGGATTTTCTCAATTTAGTCTTTCTTCCCAAGTGACTTTAGCTTGTGTCAAGTTGACATGAAATTAACCAAAAACACAAGCAGAGGAAATTTTCCCAACAGAGGAAATTTTCTTCATAGCTTCTGCTTTTTATGCCACTAACTTCATGGGGGATTGTGGGTCAGTGGTTACATCTCCCAGGGTAGGAAGATCAAAGCAAGCAGGTCAAAATGACAGCCTTTCAGACTGAAGATGCTTATGGTGGTTGATCTGGCTGGATGCTCACTATTCAGGCTGACCGTGGAGGGACTTCTCGTACTTCAGACAACATTTCTGTTGTTTTTAAGTGGTACTGGGATAACTTGTTATATCTTCCTTTCTTCTTCTTTCTATGTTTCAGTCAAAAGACCAGCCCGATTATGGGATGTATTCTCGGATCTCCTCATCTCCCACCCACAGCCTCTACGTCTTTGTGAGAAACTTTGTATGCAGAATTGGGGAGGATGCTGAGCTCTTCATGTCTCTCTATGACCCCAACAAACAAATGGTCATAAGGTTGGTGTGCTCAGTGTGTCCAGGCTTCTCTGCTCCAGGGGAAGTTGGACTTGACAGTGCACAGAGGATCTTTTCCTACCAGAGCCTCAATGAAGGTGTGGGAAGGATTCCTTTAGAGGGTATAGGAGCTGGGAGGAAGTGCTATTTGCCAGTAGATTTGTTTTCTCAGTGGATTTATGGTTATGATAATGTGTTTCGGTTGCAAAAAAAAAATACAAGATTCAGACACATAGCAATGTATATGATTTTAAAAAATACCTGTCTTTAAAATGGGAGCTGAGAAATGAATGGTGGAAAAATCTCAATCCTCCATAAAAATCTCACATTCTTGTTCTATTGTTTGATTTTCCTTAACCCTAATGAGGCTGCTAAACAGTCTTACCCCCTAGTCTGCTGTTTGCAAACTGTGAGCATTGACCTCTCTGGGCCATTACTTTCAGCCTTTAATGAGAAAAAGAACAGGCGAATATGGGTACAGCATACCAATGGGCTATCATCATGGCTCCTTGCCATTGACTGCTCTTGGGAATGGAGGAAGCAAGGGAACTTCTGGGTGCCTCATCTCAAGGAGGGGGAATGCCTTTGGGAATCCTGAAGAAGATTGCTCCCCTCTGTTCCATCCCTCTCCTCTGTGCTTGTGGCTCAGCCAATCCTTGCTCTCAGTAGATAGTATTTGTCTCCATGCAGTGGGGGTTTTGGAGCAATAATCCCTGTTTGATATATTAAAGTGAAGCTGGATTATGATCTTTCCATGCTTATGGGGAAAATGGCATTTTCCTAGTTCAGTGATAGGGTGGGTAGATGAAGTCTCAGGCCATGACTAGTGAAGAGTGGTACTTTAGTTAACAGCGGTTCTCCCAGAGATGGCAAAACATGGCATGGCTGTTCAGTTGGGAAGACTGCACCAAGGTCTGTATTCAATTTCATTTGATTGTAGAGTGAAATTTGGGTGTGAGGGTGAACCTTGAAAAGGTCAGAAAACATGTCTGAAGTCACACATGTTTATAAATAACAGAACTGAAGCTTAGATCCATGCCCGCCTGACTTCAAAGACAAGTTATATTCCATTTAATTTTGCCAGCCAGGTATAAGTTGTATCATATCTTTTATGGTTGCTACCAGAGTTTCAGCACCATTTTGTGGAAAGCTAGACCTTATCATACACTAAGTCACTATCATTCACCCACCATTTGTTGGTCTTAGTGGATATGATACTAGATACTTGATGACATCCAGTAGACACTAGAAAGATTCTAGTTCCTGCTCCTTTAGGGCCCTTGACCCATGTGCCATAGGCTCCTTGCTATTTCCTAAAAATTGCACTGGAGGTACCTGTGAAAAAGGGTATTGACAGCACTGTTAGGACCCCTGTGTCCCTTAGATACTTGACAACTTGTGTCTATATTAGTGAAGGTGCCTGACCCTCTGGCCAACTCAGTGCTGGATGGCCTCAGCCAGCTTTGTGGAGGGAGGCAATAGATCATTGAGATGGCCACTTTGCTCTCTGATGTACCACCCTGGAGGTGTGCTGGATGGGATGTGTCTGAGTTATGCCTTTGAGAGTGCCAGGTACACGGGGCAGCCCTTAGGAAGATCAGGTAGGGAGTAGCAAAAGCACCAAGATCATGAAAATGCAAAACAGGAGAAAACAAAGCACAAAAGAGAGGCCTGGAATAATCCTTGTGTTAGTCTGACTTGACTTGGATGCTCTTTTTCTCAGAATGAAATCTCTACTCCTGCCTACTCTAGCCACTGTTAACCCATTTTCCCAGCCAGAAATTAAGGCATCCTTTGTGGGGCTTCAGATGTGGACTGGAACCAACTTGTCTGGTACTGATCTTTCCGTGTCAGGACCTTTTGTGGCCAGGTTCCCAATATCTCCAAAGAGATCTGGTTGGAAATTAAAAATACATTTTTGTATTTTCATACATGACATGAGGCCAGTACTGAGATTATGTCCCCAAGAGTTTAAGAGGATGGGACAATCCTTCCTCCTCCTCACCTATGCCGATGACTCAAGCCTTCAGATTCTATCATCAGCTCTTCTTGAGCAAGAATGGATGGTAGCAGTTCAGCCCTCTAAATTGCTTTTCTTATTTATGATTACACTTCTCTCTGAAGGAAATTGCTGGTGCCTGCTGTTTAGATGTAGCAAGCTGGTCAGAAAAGGGATTGCTACATGTGATGAAAGGTACTGGACAGAACCCAGGTACTTCAATAAGAACAATCCATAAATAACCAAAGGGAATCATTAAAATTTGTTTTGATAGAGCCTTCTTGGATACTTTGCTATATCAATCCCACTGAAAATTTTAGCTCTTACAAAAAATGAAAAATAATATGAAATTGTACACTTAATTTGATTGTGTTTTGATGTTTGGTTGATTGAAGGCTAGACCACATGTGCTCTAGTTTCCATGTCCTTGTTTGGTATTGTTCCAGCTACTCTGGTTAACATTGTAAGTCTGGCTGGGTGGAACAGGCTTGTCATCTTAGCTATTCTGGAGACTTGAGGCAAGAAGATTGTGAGGTCAAGGCCACTCTAGGAAACTTAGCAAGACCTGTCTCAAAATTAACAATAACAACAACAGGACTGAGCACTGAGCACTGTAGTTGAGCACTTACCTAAAATGACAAGCCCCTGGCTTCAATATCCACTGTTTTCAGAAAAAGCAAAAAAGAAAAACAATAACCTGATAAACAAACAAGCAAATACCATCTGAGTGGAGGGAAGGTGATGGGTGGGGGAGAGTTTTCTTTCACCTGCCTGAATTCTTTCATGCTGCCTTCTGGAATGAATTTGGTTATATTGTTATTTTAATTTTCTTAATTCAAATTAGTGGGCTTTTATTTAACACAAACTATATGCTTATGGATGGTAGAGAACATCTAATGATTCAACTCAGCAAAATGTACTATGTTTCTAAGTAGCATTAGAGCTGAACCCCTTAGTCTTTCTGGCGTGGATGGCCCAAGTAGTCCTCACCACATGGGGTGTATGTGCTTTCTGGTAGAGATCAGATGGCAAATGATGATGCCTAAGTCTTGGGGGATCTCTGAATGATGGGTTGTCACCATTCCATCATACAATTCTTCACTGAATTTCCATTAATTTAGAATTTTTAAAGTTTATTTTAATTTGAATGCATGTATGTGCCTATTTGTATGCGTACCATGTTTGTGAAGATGTTTGCAGAGTCCAGATGAGGGTCTCAGGTACCCTGGAACTGGAGTTACATGCCAATATGAGCTTCTGCTTGTGGGTGCCGAGAACTAAACCTGGGTTTTTTGCAAGAGCAATAAGTGCTCATAACCCCTGACCCATCTCTCCAGCCCCCTCCATTAGTTTTAAGATAGTGTCAAAATCCCCAAAAGATCTATAAGGCCCATTTTCTCTGGTTCCCCTTTTAAAAGTTCCCATACCATTTAACTCTTAAAGTTCTTTCTTAGGTTCCTTCTACAACCTTTGCATACATCTTTACCTCACCTGAAACCTTTTATATTCCATGCTCAATTTGATTACATATTTTCCTTAGCAAAGTTGTCTCTAACTACCCAGACTAGGGCAGGTCTTTTCTTACAACATCTAGAATATTTCCTTTATAGCACACTTGCATATCACTATTATGTAGTTGTCAAATAACATTAGAATAGTTTATTTAAATGTATTGAAGGTAACAACTGTGTAGTCTATTTTGGTAAGATGTTTTCTTAGTAGAAATAGTTGTATACACAAAGGATAACTTCAAAAATCAAATCCTGACTCAGTTTCAGAAGGGGAGCAGATTGGAAAGGGAGAAGTAAGTGCTCTTGGTGTTAAACAGAGCCTGCTAAATCCTTTCCTTTCTCATCTCTGACTTTGTCAATAACCTCTACAGCATATGCAGATGCTTGGCAAAAATACCAGGCAGCTGTGCCAGAATGTTCTTAGTAGTTGGGGAGGAAAGGTGTGCATAGATACATATATGTTCATAATTCTTCCCCTACTTAATGTCTATTTCCCAACATAAAACTACCCTTCAGAGAAAAGGCTTTTCTCAAACACCACCCTGTCTCCAGAAGCCATTACAGTTTTGGAAACATAGCTGATGCTCATGCATCATGAATAGATGCTCCACCTGTAACAGGCTGCTACTCTTCCTCCCACAGTGAGAACTATTTGGTGCGATGGGGCAGCAAAGGATTCCCAAAGGAGATTGAGATGCTCAATAACCTGAAGGTGGTCTTCACAGTCAGGAAAGTCTGTCCACTGTGCTCTACACACCCAATGATCTGGCCCTGGGAAAGAAGCTGGTTGGGCATTGATCAGGATGGAGCAGGGGCTCCATGCAGAGCTGTGTTCTGGGCTGTATGTAGAGTCATGGAGTCATTGCGTATCCTGAGGATGTCACTGGGAATCATTGTATGTCCTGAGTATGTCGCTGGGAAGATGGGTCTTCTCCTTTTCTCTTTCCCCTCCCTATCTTTCTCATTCCTGTACACTCAGACAACACAGTACCATCCAAACAAGTGAACCTCCCTGATCAGCAATGGCTAGTTGACCCAGGCACAGAAGCTACTAGTTTTGATTTTCCAGTTAATTCACAGTGAATCTAATTTTCTTTCTTTGGTTCAGGCCTGAAAACACTTCTAAAATACATCAGAAAAAAACAGAATCTTTCAAAAAATTGGCTGCCTTAGTCAATTGGACATTCTGAATATAATTAAGCCATAGGTAACTAAAGACCTGGCAAGTCCTTAGGACCATCCTTCCAAATACCAATACTTAACTAACGTGGCTTATATGTAGAAGGGTAAAATCAATTGTTATTTGGATGGGTTATTTCTGAGAGTGTACTTGACTCTTTAGTTCTGAGTAGGGGATGCAGTGAACAGAATGAGATAAGGGCTATAATTTCCAATAGAGACCCCTGTCTCCTGGCCTTTCTTCACTAAGGATACAAGCTTTGTCTGCAGGCTCTTTTGGTGAGAGGATTGTGTGCCTTTGTGCTCCATTGCATGGATTAGACAGGGAAATTATGAAGGAGGAGCAGGGATGGGTTTCAGCATTGACCAAACTGATGAGTTGGATCCAGAAGTGACCGACATGCTAGATTAACCTACCTTGCTCTACAATAATTTTCCTGTTATAGCCCATTAAGTGTAGTATCTTATGTTACATTGTGATTAGATTGGGGTATAGTTGATTTATTTTGTTTGTTATTTCCTGAAAAAAATAGGCCAGAGGCATGGATTGGGATCATAGGTCCTAATTGCTTAGACAGAGTTTTCTTGGCATATACAAATGTGCTTCAATCTTGTATATCTATTACTAGTTAGAAGGAGGAGCCTATTTATCTGTTTGATAAATAGGAGAGTCCCACAGGGATTCATTATTTAAACCGGGAGACATATGTTTCACAAGATGGGGGAGGACAGGGAATCAATCAGTGCTTCACTGTGCAGAGGACCAATCCATGATATGAGCATGAAGGAAAGGGCATGGGCAAGTTTGTGTCACACAGGATTAGTGAGAATGGGATCCTGGCTTCACGGAATTCTATGGTGCCGCACATCAGCTCCGAAGAACAAGTGAACTTGAGACCTTCAGTTGATTGGTTTGACAGACTGTTGCTTCCCTTTATTGAGATGATTGACAGCTTCATTTGAGAATATGAAAGGTCACAGTGTTCTTGTATTTTGTGTGGATTCAAGAGCCACATGTAAGCTTGGTGCCTGTTGCTAGGGTACAGCAGCCAGCAAGCTGATGAGGCCTTTGCTTTCTGGTCTACTAGTGGGGGTCCTGAAATAATAATAAATTATTAATAATAATTGACATAAATTAATTAATTTTTTATACTGTGGTCTCACAAACTCCCAATGTTTGAGGGGGGAAGCAGAACAATAGAACTTGGAATAAACATTGCCCACTATGATAACCAGGAGCACCAGCATCCTCTCCCTTCCCAGACTGCAGGAAAGTAGAATTTTGAAAAATAAAATAAAATAATTAATTAACATAAAATAAAATTTTATTAAAATAAAGTGAATAATAAATAAATGAGTAAAGACACAGTAGCAATGTCAAAAATACAAAGGTAATTACAACGGTGTG